TGTTGTTTTTATCCTAGGTCTCTCCTATTTCCTCTCCCTTTTCCTAGCTGATTATTACCACTCTTTGAGAAGTTTCAGTGAAAACAAGTCTTGAAGAACATCAGGCCTCTTTGCTGCTTGTGCCACAGCTCCAGACACTTGCCCTCTATGTTATTAAAATTAGTTAGATAATGCCATGGTCAGCTGCTCAAAAATCTCTGCATTGTAAGAAACCCCATGGTCTAGCTTACCACCATCTATATTCCCAACACCTAATCATAGTCCTTTGTGTATGAGAGGCATTGGATAAGCACTGAATGAATTTGCAAAAGATTATCTACTAAAGCACATCCATCAAGTACATGTAAATTAGGCAACAGCTCCACTCCAAGCTGATTATTCTTACTTCCTAGCACTGTATAAAATCCCTGAACATTTCAGAAAGACTGGCAAATATCCAAGACAATGAATTGAAAATGTTTTCAATTTAAAAAATAAAGCGGCATAAGTTATTTGAGCCTTGCTTCAAACTGAAAACACTGAATTAAAAAGAAATATTCAAGTATGTATTTGTGCTGAGCAGGCTATGCCAAATAGGCTCACATGCTGGTGTCTCTAAAACCTAAGAACAGACTGAGTAGCAGCACATTCCAGCTCCATCAGTTTCCCTGCTTCAATGTCACCAAGCACACCTGGTCTCACTTGGTAGTCATGACCACATCCGTCACATGTTCTATCTTAATAACTTCACAGTTCACACAGCAGTATTAGGGTCAGAGAAGCTTAAAAGGGTTAAAGATGCCACAGGATTTTAAAAGCAGGTGGTTAGAGGAACAGTTAACAACTTAAGGAGTTTCTGGGTGTAGAGCTCTTAAAGTAAAAGTGAGGCTCTGAGAATCTGTATGGCTTAGCAGTGGGCAGTTTCAAATCAATAGGGTAGAATCATGCTGACGTAACTGTTCAAAGTATGAAGTGGTGAGTCTCGTGCCAAGGCGATGAACCAGTGTTGCCACCAGAACACTCTTAGATGCCCCTCCCTTTTCTATGTTTCAAGAGCGGTTGTCACATCATTTGTTGATCTGGCCCCATTTGATAAACTCGTTTATTTTGTGTTATTTATTGAGACCAACCTCACAACATAGTCGAAATCGTTCTGAATTCTTCTCCCTAGTGCTGGGATAACAGGTCCACACCTACCCTAGCCTAGTGTTCCTGATGTGTCCATGTGCCTCTGATTTGATACGTTCACAGGTGGTAATTTATTAGCATGATTAAGTTGTTCATCAGTCTAGGTCTTATGACTGTGCTGTGAAGCTGGGTAGTAGTTCTCAATAAATTCTCTATTATAGTATTTGGTGGTCATTTGCTTGATCAGAAGACATGTAATTCTACCTTAGTGCTTTCAATCAAATTTAGGTAACTCAGACAAATTAGTGCTTTATGAAATGGAATAAGCCAGTACAAGACACAGGGCAACTTCTAAAGCTATTAATTTATTTATTGTGTATGAGTGTTTTGCCTGCTTTATTTATTAATGTTTTATGAGTGTTTTGCCTTCCTGTGTGCATGCAATGCCTGCAGAGGCCAGAAGGAGGTGACAGATCCCTTGGAACTTGAGTTACAGACAGTTGTTAGCTGTCATATGGGTGCTGGGAACTGAACTCAAGTCCTCTGCAAGAGCAGCCAGTGCTCTTAACCACGTAACCACTTTCCAGACCCTTACAGTATTCTTAAAACAACATCCTGACAACAACAAAAACTCATTATCAATATTCTCTAGAATCATTATCCTAAAATCTAAATGAGAACATGCATCCAAAGAAGCAAGCAAAACGGGGAAATCCTGTCTGAATTCTACATGAAAAGAGGCAGACAGGAGCTCCTATCCCCGAGGGACAGAAGACTGTAGGCCTTCTGGGATGTTACAAAAAGAAAAAGAAAAGCCCCCAAAGCATTATCCTTTCAAAAGAGAGAACTGGGGCTCCCTGGGGCTCCCTGGCTCTCCCACCTCTACACCTGCAAGGTAGTGCATGCTTGTAATCCCAGCACTTGGAAAACTGAAGCAAAACTGAGAATGTGAGGACTACCTGGGGTACGCAGTGAAGACTCTGCTGTGCAGCTCAGTGGTGGTATTACTTGCCAACCACGAACAAGGCCCTGGATTCCAGCCCTGGCACTACAAAAGAGAAAAATGAATTTAAGAACACCTCACAGCAAGGCTGGTAATCTCACCACATGCTCGGGTCAGGGTTTATTATTCTCCCATTTCAAAGGTTGAGGTCTTTTCCCACCAGAGACCAGCATGCCACTGTTCAGTGCCTTAGGGACAAGACCAGGACCTACTGCCAAAGGGGTGACAATGGCATCTTAGTGGGATGGAGAACACAACATATGACCCCACAAAGGAAATTCTTGGACCTTAAATCAAATGGAAATTGCCTTGCTAGGTTTGGGACTTGCTTTAGAACTTGTTATTCTTTATCTGTTCCTGGTCTCTCCTTTGGCAGAAGCGGTATCAATGACTGACCCATCATTGAATTTTGGAAGCATATAACTTTCTGGTTTCACATATTAACTGGGGAGCACTGAGTTAATGTGTTATTTCACATTCTTCACCTGTGATAACACAGCATAAAAATACCTAAATACAGTGACTACTGTTCTGACAGTAACTCCCAGAAAAACAGAAATTGATTTTCAGGAAAAAAAAAAAAAAAAAAGCAGAGGTCTTCAGTGAAAGCTTTAGTTTTTTTTTTGTTTTTGTTTTTGCTTTTTGGCTAAAAACTATGTAAATTACTTTCATTGGCCAAGAAAAAAATGTAACAATTTTTCAAAGGAAAGTTAAAACATCACACTTTCAATTCTTAAATTTTAGTCACTTAGGTCTTTTGTAATTTTTATTATATGTATCCTAGTAGTTCATAATTTTTCAGCTGACTTTTTAAGTCTAAATCAACCTACTGTAATTTATTTTCAATTTAGAAAAGTCTTATTTTTCTGCTTGATATTTAAAATATAGTAATTGTTTTTAAATGTTTATCCATATAATACCTACAGTTGTCTCATGTTCCAGGAGTGGTACAAGGTCATACTTTAAAAAAGACTGCTAGATACAAAATGTGAGAATCACGATGGCTTAAAACCATAGTAAACCTACAAGAAAAAATTCCTATATCAGACTGATTAAATTGCACTAAATATCTTTTTGTTTTTTGAGACAGATTCATATACACAATTGTTCTCAAACTCACTACGTGGCCAAGGATGACCTTGAACTTCTGATCCTCCTGCCTCCACCTCTCAAATGCTAGGATTACCGGTGTGTATCACAATGCCCAGTTTATTGTGGTGCTGGGAATCAAACCCAGGGTTTCATGAATGCTAGGTAACCATTCTACCAACTGAGATACATCCCCAGACCCTAAATAGAACTTGAAGCATTTTTATATTTAAAAATTAAAAATATTGCGAGGCTGAGGCAGGAGGATTGCCACAAGTTTTAGGCCAGCTAGGACTACATTGTGAGTTTCATAACAACCTGAGCTACAGAGTAAAACTGAGCCTGAATAAAAACCAAAACAAAAAGTTAAAAATATAAAGACTTTCAATGATGTTAAAAACAAATTCCTGTTTTTATAATACAGAGCTGAATATAAAATGAATTTTGCTTTTAAAAAGACATTTATATTATCCTAAGTTGTGCAATACAAGTCACTCAATACATGAGGTTAGCCAGGGGTTATAAATGTCAGACAGTCTAATTACTGAAATACGAACCACATAATTTAATGCATAAAGAAATAAATGGATTTCAATAATTTTATTAATTTATTGAACTAAAGTACTTCATCTCTCAGTGACTCTGAAACTAGTGAAAAAAAAAAAGACTCAACTTTAAGCTAGGGGTGTGGCTCAGTGGCAGAGTATTGGCTCCAGGTTTATCCACCGCATCAGAAAAAAAAAAAAAAAAAAGACTCAACTTTGACCAAAGTAATTCATAAAACTTAACACAAGACCAAAATATGCTCTGGTTCCGTTTTCAGTGGTGCACCCATGCAACTGAGTTTTTTATATTTTACATTGCTAAAAGATATTTCTTGATAAGAGAGGAAAGACTCAATTATTCATTAATTGATGAGAGTATTCATCCTAAGAATAGATGGAAAGTATTTCTTTCATTTTTATTTTTTAATATTTTATTTATTTTAATTTATGTGTATGAGTTTATTGTTCTGCACGTGCACCTGTGTCGTGCAATGCCTGAGGAGGTCAGAAGAAGGCATTTGATTACTCTGGAACTGGAGTTACAGATGGTTGTTAGCCACCACATGGGTGCTGGGAATTGAACCTGGGTCCTCTGCAAGAGCAGTCAGTGCTCTTAACCTCTGAGCCATCTCTCCAGCCTGAATATTTGTCTTTCAAAAAACAAAACAAAACAAACAAAAACCACGTCTCAGGGGCTAGGGAGATGGTTCCGTGGGTAAGAGCACTTGTTTTGCAAGCAAGCATGAGGTCCTGAGTTCACATGTCCAGTCCCATGCAGAAAGCTGGGCACGATTACCTGTGCCCATAGCTGTAGCACTGGGGGCAGAGACAGGCAGATCCCGGCAGCTGGCTGCCTTGCCAAGAGCCAAAACAATGAAACCCAGTCTCAAGACAATAAGGCAGAGATAAACAGAGGAAGACACCTGATATTCTGCCTTCACATATGCCCATAGAATGCACTAGCATGCTTGTAGGCATGCAACACCACACACACACACACACACACACACACACACACCTCTACCTGGGTGTGGTAACTTGTGCCTATAATTCTAGCACAAGACAGCCTGAGGCATAAAAACTGCTGCAAGTTCAAGACCTGCCTGAGCTACCTGGTGAGCCTCAGGACAGCGTGGGCTATACCTTCCTCAAAACCCAAAACAAACATGCCTTTGACCTTCATTGCAAGGTTCCTTATTTATTTATTTATTTATTTATTTATTTATTTATTTATTTATATATTTATTGGCTACTATCTTTCACAAATGTACTTTACTATGGATCTGATGGCATCTTTGTCCATCAACATTTGTCTCTTACAGGAAATGGGAGAAGCATAACAGAGTTCTCTAGGCAAACTTGAGTGGAGGAAGAGGCCTATGGAGCACCAAAATCACCTTTTCCTTATGAAATCCCTGCAGACTCTGGCTAGGGTGCCTGACAGCTGTTGCCCAGAGCTCAGCATCAGCTTCAAAGGCCTTCCAAAAGCCTGACTGATGTACTGATTACACCTTAGGAACCGGATTCTTAGGCCTTAAGAGAATACTTGTATACTGGCAATCATTATTTTCTAGGTTTAATAAAGTATTGACTTATTTAAGTGTTTTATAAAAGAAAGTGTATAAAAGGAAATTTATTATAATCAAATAAAGTCATAACAGAGTTGAATATTTATTTGTCTTTCCCCTGTAAAAGCACTCAATATGTAAGAAAAACAAACCAAGTGATGAGACTTTGGTTTTTAAATATAGCCATTTTTGAAAAGTGAAAAGGTTTCTGTTTTCAATGATAACAAGTAAGACACTATTTTAAAACTACCATTTAAAAATTAGTATTTGAAGAAATGTATAGTATATTAACATGATGTGTTCAACAGAATGGATACATATCTGAATGCCAATCTGAATATGGGAGACACAGATGCGTTAAAAATCACACCAGAAAACTAAATGTTCTTGTTTTATAAAAAGTACTTTGAAATAAAAAAGAACTTGCTAGTAAACCTCGTAAAGCTTCACACATGGGATTTATAAAAATATAAATAAAAATCCCTACCTACCCCATCCCCACAAAGAAGTAACAAAAGGAGACAAAATGTGGTCAGTTTGAGTAGAGCCATTACAGGCCCACACATTTCTGTGCTACATGGGAAGCCTGGATACACAGTCAGTATTAACTTCCTAAAGTGCATCTTTTGAAGATCTAATAAAATTGCAATCTCAAATATAAAACACTTAACACAGACATGCAATAACAAAACCAAATCATAATAGTGTAACGTTTTTAAAACTACTTTTAAAACTTTTGATCCACCAAAGAATAAAGACATCAAATACAGCAGGCATTTTCATTCTCCAAGAGTGTGCATTATATGCTCTTGTTATGTGGCAAATCTTTTGGAGTCGAACAAAAATAATGCAGTCTACACAACATTTCTTCTGTCAACATAATATGATTCCTCGGCAGAACAGTAAAGTGCAGAGGAAGAATTAGATTTTTGGAAGTTTTGGTGCATTAACCACAGGATTTGCTTCCTGCAAGTATTTCCTCCCTGTACTCTTGTAATCATAGGTGCAGCTGTGAGTTTCTGCATAGCGATGAGATGCACAGAAGTTGTTTCCACATCTAAAGCACAAAAAAAGTTTATATGAATAGTCACATTTCCATGGAAGGCTTTAGGAGAGAGGAGCTTGACCTCAGGCAATTCAACAAAAGCCCTCTGGACCTCCTCAGCAATTTCAGCCATTTCCCTTCCGTGAATAAGGAGGTGCCCCCAAAGAACAAGTTAATCATGTACAAATGGCAGTTTACAATGAAGAATTCATTAGGGAATGAAATAGGCATATAGACCTTTATGAAGTAACCTGAAAAGCTGATAAAACATGTCGACCATCTCTCTCAAACCCAGCCAATGTGAATTCTAAGAAATTCAGGCTCATGAGAAAACTGGGTAATATAAAATTGAACTATGCCATGAGAAAACTTAACATGTTTCTAGCAAAATGGCTCAGCGGTTAAGAGCACTGACTGCTCTTGCAGAGGATGGTGGTTCGATTCCCAGCACCCACATGGTGGCTACGAACTGTCCTTAACTCCAGTTCCAGGGAATCTGATGCCCTCTTCTGACCTCGGCGGCATTGCACGACACAGGTGCACTTACCTACATGCAGGCAATATACATTCATACACATAAAATAAAAATAATAAAATATTTAATTTTAAATATTTTATTATTTTTTATTTTATGTGTATGAGTGTATTGCCTGCATGTATGTGAGTATACCCATGTCATGCATTGCCATGGAGGTCAGAAGAGGGCTTCAGAATCCCTTGGTACTAGAGTTAAGAATGGTTCCTAGCCATCACGTATGTGGGTGCTGGGAATCGAACCCGGGTCCTCTGCAAGAGCAATCAGTGCTCTTAACTGCTGAGCCATCTCTCCAGTCCCCAAAATAAAAATTTTATGTGAACACAATATACTCTAAAAGTCACAATTCTTTTCAGTGTATGCCCTCACACTAAGGGCAGACACCAACCATTCTTGGAGGATATCAATCAATGCTAATGAAAGTCATAATTATGAGAAGACAAAAATTGTTATTTAAAAATAAAACATAGTATATTAACTTTCACATTTAGTTTTTGTTGTTGTTGTTGTTGTTGTTCAGTTTAAAATAGAATCTTGGAGGAGGGGCTCTTCCAAGAAGTATTTAAATGAGATCAAATGACTTAAATCTCCTAGTTTAATGGGCAGTGGAGGATCTACTTCTGCCTTCTGGAAACTTTTGAGCTATTTCTTTCCAGCCAATTAGGAATTTAACTGAGAGTTGCTATTAAAACATTGTTTTGATGCCCTAAATGGCTAATGTAAGCAATGTTTGATTCTGCATAATCCCCACACTGAGTCACTGAAGAGAAAGCATCTCAGCTTCTCCAGCTGGCCAACCTGCCTGCATTTGAAGCTAGTAGCCAGTCCTGTTTTCTTTCCACAAAGAAAACAATGTTTTGCTATTTTCCTCTTTGTTTGAAGAAGGGCTTTCACAGGTGGAAGGCGATGGGTACTTTCTCCTGTTTAGAGAAAGAGCAGCGTGATTAGTAGAAGCACAAAATTCTAAATGTGAACTACTACTAAAATTCCTGTCAATATAAATCTACACCATGCAGATTTAATTTGTAATTATCAGAAATTATTTATGGACTCTACAAGTGAAGTGGCAGTAAACTTTTTCTTAAAGATGTGAAAAGTTTCTACTGATGGGGTACTGGATTTTTTTGGATTTTCTTGTACACACTACTTTTCTGATTACACCTAAGGGTAATCAACCTAAACAAAGTACATCAAACACTAAAGAGAATTAAGGAAAACATCTGGTTTTTCAAGTCCTAGCTGATAAAGTCCTATCTGATAAGCCCTCTGGAAACAATATAATCATTCTCTTTGTCAATCAAGGAGCACCAAAAGTATCATGAAACTGGTTGTTTACATCACAGAATTAAATCTGTCAACAATGAACAAGTCACTTACTCCTTTCAAATTTCAATGTGAGTGCCTTTAAGAATAACAGAACATGGACCATGGGGGCTACCGAGAGGGCTCAGTGGGTAAAGATGATCCCTGGGACCCACAAGGTGGACGAGAACTGACACCCACAGTGTCTCTGACTTCTACAAGGTATGTGCCCCACTCTTCCCAAACACACACACACACACACACACACACACACACACACACACACAATGTAAGAAACACACACATACAAAAATGTAATAAAAAATGTTAAAGTGCAGTTAAAGGTAAAAGATTTATATGATCTGAAATCAGAGTTTCAAGAGGAAATGTTGGAAGTGGGGACATGTTGAAATGGAGAGTTGCTTGGGGAAAATGGGAGGTAGATATGATAGTATTTCATCGTATATTTGCCTGAAAATCTTAAAAAATGAAAAAATTTGAAAAGAAATGAGTATGTTATTATCTATGTTATCTATGTTACTAAGTACTTTAAGGACAAATCAGTTTACACATTATCATATGTTATATAAAATAGATCATCAATAGTGACTAAGTGTATATCAATTTCTCAGCACTACTAGCTTTCCATAAATATATACTAAATTCCCTATCAATCACTGTAACAAATTGTTTTGTCCTAAAAATAAGAGCATATGTTATAATGAAGGAAATAAATTAATCTTTTTTTTTTTTTTTGGTGTTTTTGAGACAGGGTCTCTCTGTTTCCCCAGCTGTCCTGGAACTCACAGTATAGACCAGGCTGGCCTCAAACTCACAGAGATCCTCCTGCCTCTGCCTCCCAAGTGCTGGGATTAAAGGCATGTGCCACCATGCCCAGCAGGAAATAAATTAATCTTTAATTGCCAAATTATACATATTTAGAGCTGACCAAACTATTAACAGCCTCTAGGCCATAAGTAAAGAAGCTCAAAGTTATTATCCATAGCTGCTGAAAAAGAACAGTATGGGGCTGGAGAGATGGTTCAGTGGTTAAGAGCACTGGCTGCTCTTGCAGAGGACCTGGGTTCAATTCCCAGCCCACGTGGTGGCTAATACACATAAAATAAAAATAACAAATAAAATATTTTTAAAAATAATAGCACAGGGGGCTGGAGAGATGACTCAGTGGTTAAGAACACTGGTAGTTCTTGCAGAAGACCCGGGTTCAAATCCTAGCACCCACATGGCAGCTAACAACTGTCTGTAACTCCAGGGGATCTGACAGCCTCTTCTGACCTCTGTGGGCATTGCACGACATGGGTGCACTTACCTACATGCAGGCAATACATGCATACATATACAATAAAAAATAATAACTAAAAATTTAAAAAAGAACAGTACAAATACAAAAAGATGTCTGTTGGAACTCAAGGACCAAGAAAGAAGAAACAAAGGCAGCAAGAACAAGTGTTGGAAGTGGGGGGAGGACCATCAATGGTGTGTACCCACTCTCCATTGACAAAAGAGGGGAACTTTGGATTAATATTTGGTAGCTACAGCTTTGGGAAGTCCTTATCAAAATAATATAAAAATACTTAAAATTAATAGACACTATGCCTTTTGTTATAATGCAAATTGGGTGCTGTGAGCCCAGCAAAATTAAGTCTGCTCTATTACCAGTCTGAAGGTACTTCTAGTTCTTACACAAAAGTAAAGTTAAAATTTGAAACAATCAACTGAAAGGCCCTAATGATGCCAGGCACCAATTCAGTTAACAGAAACCTTCTTTCTCCACTGCTACTAGAAGTACCAAACCATTTCACAAAAATGATACAGTGCTTTCTACTTCTTAAAAAATAATAGAGAACTGGGAGAGATGCTTAGAGGTATAACACGTGCTAAGCATTGATATGGCCCTGTGCTCAATCTCCAGTACCAAAATAAGTAAATGACCTACTGCACAGGACACAGAGGGAAAGGGTCTATTACAGAACAGCCAATGTGAGCTGATCTGCTACTAAGTGTCTTTGAAATTCCAACGTAGTACATTCTGTCTTAATTGATAGTGGAAAATATGTTGATAACTTAGTTCAGTACAGTCACATGGTCATTATTGTCTTTCTTTTGGAAAGGCTTACCTCAGTGATTTTTACTTTTTTCCTGGCAGTAGTCCTGTATGTTCAGAGATAGAGAACACATTTGTGACAAATACGAGGAACACAAAAACAGAAGGGCAATCGTCTTCTATGAGACATTTCCATGGAGCCTTCTATCCATTATTCAGAGATGGCCAGTGATTAGCCATCTCATCTATGCTAGGAACCATTACAATATCATTCTAATACTGCTTTAACTGGTATTCAAGGTCTTGTATGTACAGCATGATACCAGTCTAACTTTCCAGAGTAATTTCATGCCATTTGCCATTTTAAACACTCCCTTGAATAAGGTACCTTGAATCTCCAGGTACTGGAGATTGAGCACAGAGCCACTTGAAGAAGAATTTCTTCTCCTAGCAAAATGCTACCTATCCTGTAAGATACTGCCAATCATCACCTGCTTTCTGAGGTTTTCTGTCCAATGTGTATCAAATACACAATAGAGAGAAAAGAAGCAATGTTGAGCTGAAGGGCTACTTTGTAGAGTATGTTCAAAGATATTTGGACTAGTTCACTTCTTTCATGTTTCCTTATCTGATCTAATGCAATGATTTATGCAACAGAAATCCAAAAGTAACAAATTGATGTTCCAGATGCAAGTTTGGCAGTCAGATGTTTACAGCTGATGGTGCCACTATAATATGGATAGCATTTCTAAGAGGTGCCTGATAATAAAGATCAGTAAAGGAACATGGCAATTCTGTAGAATCTTCTAGGTACCCAGGACTACAGAGTTATAACCGTGAAACAGCAACAGGTTCAATAGGCTCTAGTTTGAAAAATTATAGGCGGCACTTGATGCCTTGAACCCATGTTATATCAAAAAACAAGAGTGCTACATGGAATGGTGCTGGTCAACCTGATAGCTACATGTAGATTTCCCCCCCTCTCCCCTTGTGCACAAAACTCAGCTCTAGATGGATCAAAGACCTCAATGTAAGATATGATTACTCTCAATGTGTAGAGGAGAAACTAGGGAACACACTGGAACTCACAGGCACAGGGAAGGAATTCTCGCACACGACACTGATAGAACGGGCATTAACTGACAATGGGGAACACATGAAACTCAAAAGCTTCTGTACAGCGAAGGACACCGTCATTCAAGACACAGCTTACAAAATGCCAAAAATCTTTGCCAACTGTACATCTGACAGAGGGTTTGTATCTAGAAAATACAAAGAACTAAAAGAAAAAGAAACATCAAAACAATAAACAACCTAATTAAACATGGAAGAAAAATACATTTGCTTGACTTTCAGTAAGTTCTATTTGGAAAAGAGCTTGAATTATTTCATGATAAAAGAACTGATAATGTTTTTCAAAAATTTAAAAGGCTAAAATATTTTTTAACTTTAAAAAAATTTTTATTTATTATTTTTATTTTATGTGTATGTGTGTATTGCCTGCATGTAGGTAAGTATACCCAGGTCATGCAATGCCCACAAAGGTCAGAAGAGGCTGTTGGATCCCCTGGAACTGGAGTTAGAGACAGCTGTTAGCTGCCATGTGGGTGCTGGGATTTGAACCTGGGTCTTCTGCAAGAACAACCAGTGTTCTTAACTGCTGAGCCATCTCTCCAGCCCCAAGGCAAAAATATTTCTGATAAATACTGGGTTGCTAAGAAAACAGGGAAAGAAAAACAGAGACTTCTCAAAAGATGAAATGGAAACAAATAAGAAACAGTTAAGAAAATGTTCAACATCTTTAGCCATCAGGAAAATGCAAATTAAGATTCTGAGGGCTAGGCATTGTGGTAATCCCAGCACCCAGGAGGCAGGGACAGTCATATCTCTGTGAGATCAAAGCCAGCCTGGTCTACATAGTGAGTACCAGGCCAGCTGAGGCTATAGGGAGAGACTCTCTCTAAAAGACCAAAAAAAGCGCACAAAAACAAACAACAACAACAACAACAAACCAGGGAAGTGTGTTTAGGAAGCATAAGGACCTGACATCTCCTCCCCTTTTTTTTTTTTTAAACATGACAAAAAAATGCTGGTATGGATGTGGGGAAAGGAGGGTACTCATATTCTTGGGTATATACTCAAATTACTTGTATCCTTTACTACATAGACACCTGATTATCCAAGTTCATTGCTGCTCTATTCACAATAGCCAGGAAATGGAAACAACAGAGATATCCATAAACTGATGAATGGATAATGAAAATGTGGTATATTTAGATAATGGAATATTATTTAGCTGTTAAGAAAAATGAAATTATGAATGCTGCAGATAAACGGATGGAGCTGGAAACACATCCCAAGTTAGGTAATCCAGACCTAGAATGCCAAACGCCACATGTCCTCTCAGCTGCTACCTCTGAATTTTCAGAGATGTGTATTTCAACTGGAAAATCCACAGAGATAGGAAACAGGAAGGTACCATGGGTGGAGGGAGGGCTGCCTGGGAGGGGAGATCAAATCCAGTCATATGAATGGGGAAAGAGAATAAGGGAA